AAGCGGGTTCCCCTTGCCAGAGAACATCGGGCCGGGCGAAAGGGGGGGATAGGGAAAGGGGGGGTTACGAAATCTGCTGCATGCAGCTGGTTTCGGCCCCGCCGAGGGGCCCATTCCTCGATACATGGCCGCCTTCTGGCGCTGGGAGGCGCTGGGAAAATCAGCTACGTGAGCTGATTCTCAACCCCCCCCTTTGCTATCCCCCCCTTTCGCCCGACCCGAGAACACTGGGCTTTACATGGACTCAGCTCTCCGCTCGAACTGAAATGGCAATGAATTGAACCGCTGCCACGTTCCACCTCCCAAAACCCCATCCAACCACCGAATTATGCAGAACCCTCCTATGGTCGAAGCTACAAGCCCCGCCATGGATGGCAAGGTATTCCACCATGCCACTCGGACTCTTCCAAAATCTTGGAGACCACTGGAAACCAAAAGCTCGGAAAACATGCTGTCACCCAAGAATGCTGTCAAAGCTTGTGGTACAGCTCCAGCCCACTCTGGGTGGAAAGGCAGGACAAGCCAGGACGTGGATCGCCCTTGCTCCGCCTGCTCCCCACCACCCCGCCTTCGGGCGGTCATAGAATCTGGGCTGGCCGCGCGAATTCTCTGCAACACCGATTCCAGGATAGGTGCACTGGACAAGCGATCTATCATCAAATTCTGTGCGATGCCCCTGCCATGTCCCCTAAAGCCTAAACCCTCGAGAGAACGTCACATGGCCATGGGCCACGTACGATGTATGTGAGGAGGGGAGGCACTGGAACACGACAGGGGGATTGCTAGAGTGGAATCTTTAAACGCCGGCTTTGTCACGACTATGTTGTGCCACTTGCACACCTCCAATTGCAACCATCTGACTGTCATGGCGCTGGCTCCTTCCAGCTTGAGGCGGAAATACTTCGACCGACTCGCCATGCAGTCAAAGAAGAACTGGTAGAACAAGACGACGTCATTGTATATTACCCAGATGTCATCCTTGAACCTCATGTATGTGATGATTGCGTGCAGGTTCATAATGCGCCTCCTAACAACATGACACTCCATGATCTTAACAAGAGCAGAATCTGCGACATCACCACTGTGTATGAGTCCCATGCCTGTTCCGACCACAGCGGAAACGCCCAACCACATTTGGACTTCGGACGTACTGGTTCTCCAAAAGAATGGTTACTGCCTCGCGCGTCACCGTGCGGACATCACCGGCCAAATGCATAGTGCAATCCTCTGCCAGTTCGTGGATGTCCCCGCTCATGAAGAACTCCTTTACGTCAATGCATGCGAATTTCGAAGAACAGGTGACTAACATACCGCCTAGTCGTTGTTCAGCTTCTGCGGCGTCACGGGCGATGTACCGCATTGCCATTATATGCGACCGCAGTTTGCGGGCCACCCAAATCGAGAGGCCTGCGAACATGTACCGCGAGAGCGCGTGCACTGGTCCGAAGGTTATGGGTGCTTTGTGGGTTTTGCATCGGATCTTCAAGACTGCTGTGAGAGAGAACCCGGGGTAGTCAACGATCTTGTCAATTGTCGGTACAAGTTGTCGTCATCCTCGAGCTGGCCGATTCTCTTAGAGACTATGGTATCTACGAACCACTGGGGTGATGTCGCACCACCCGTCGTCAGCCTCCATATAGTTACCGTTGGCGAAGATGCTTTCGTCCATGCCAACCTTCACGGCCTTCGGAATGAGCGTGAAACCTACCTCCTTGTCGTTTGGCACGGCTGCGTACTCGAACGAAGAACTTCGCAGCGTACGCATTGCCAGGCGCACCATCGGGTACACATTGGTGATCCTGCATCCCGTCTTCTTGGCTGCGACGGCGCGGGCGGCCGAACGAAGCAAAGAGGAACTCAAATGGTTAAGCCAACACTTCAAAGGAGGAGGTGCTATATGAGAGAATTCCACCGTTGGGCAGAACTTGCACTTGATATACTCACGCCTGGGCTCATTACGAAAAAGTACCATCTCCACAACAGCTTATTCTTGAATTCAGATATTGAGGAACGTAAATGATCAAGTCGTGGGGCTACGCTCGTGCAGAAACGGTGTTTGGATTGAACGTCGGAACGTCGCCAATAACCAAACCATTGGCCATGGTATTGAATTGGGAGGCTCGAGAACGCCATCAGCAGTATAGATTTTGACCCTGCTCTTGATAGCGTCGAACCTGCCTATTTGCAGCCAGTCGTACAAGGGAGCATTGCCCATCAAGTGGACCAGCCTCCGTGCACAACGCGACTGATCCTTTACTTGCCTTTGCCATGCCCACTCTTTGATTTGCCACCGCCTCTGCCTTTGCCATCGCCTTTCGGAGCGCGATGTCTTACCCATGGGCGCCAATACTTCTTGCTCTTCGGCTCTTTTCCCTTGCCTTTGTCTTTGCCCTTGCCCCTGCCCTTGCCTCCCTTGGTGTGCGCGGGCTTGGTGTGGTCGGTGGGCAGGGCTGCATTGGGCTTCGTGGGCTTCCCCCGGCCTGACCCGGGGCCGCCGCCGTTGTTTGCCATGTTCGCCAAACGTTTCTCTGCAGCAGGGTTCGGGGGTGCATCCGTGCGCACGCCCATGCCGTCATCCTCGCCGCGAGCAGCAAGCTCTTCATCGACAACATGTTCCACGGCATCGCGGAACAAAGCATTGGGGTTGGCATTCTCAAGTTCCTCATCTAAGGTGTGTGTGTGTGTGATTGTCTTTGGGCTTCTTTCTCCCTGCGGGTGGCTTCTCTACGTTCCACCTTATTCACGACGTCGGCGTACATATCTTCCAGCTTGCGGGTTTTAGCATTCTGCTCGATCTCCTTCTGCATAGGCGCATCGAGGCCGAGCTCCGAGGCGTCGTTTGGAGTCAGGGAATGTGGAGGCAGAGTGCGGCTTGTATTGTTTTGGCGTCAGGGATGGTGGGGGGCGGGCACTCATGGTGTCGGCATGGTTCCTGGTTGGACGCCGGGCCGGGTGGGGGAGGGGGTACACATATCAGAGTGAGGGGGCCGAACGGTCATTCACTGTCCCTGGGTGCGTGGCTGATGTGGAATTCCGCGGTGCGGATTCTTGTTGTTGTTGTTGTTGTTGTTTGTTGTTGTTGTTGTTTGTTGTCGTCGTCCCACCCGCAACCCGCCCCGCGACCCAACCCGCGACCCACCCCGCGACCCACCCCGCGACCCACCCGCGACCCACCCGCGACCCACCCGCGACCCACCCCGCGACCCACCCCGCGACCCACCCCGCGACCCACCCCGCGACCCAACCCGCGACCCGCCCCGCGACCCCCCCGCGGCCCACCCCGCGACCCACCCGCGACCCACCCGCGACCCACCCGCGACCCACCCGCGACCCAGCCGCGACCTACCCCGCGACCCACCCGCGACCCACCTTCGACCCAAACCACGTTCAAGGTACAAACCACAATTTTCGGCGCCTGCGGCGGGCTTTTTTTGCATTCCTTCCAAGTGGAGAGCCCGCGACACATCCCGTGACCAACTCGCGACCAACCCGCGACCCAAACCACGTTCAGGGTACAAACCACATTTGTCGGCGCCTGCGGCGGGCATATTTTGCATTCGTTTCAGGTGGAGAGCCCGCGGCCCACCCGCGACCACGTTCAGGGTACAAACCACATTTTCGGCGCCTGCGGCGGGCATCCTTTCCATTCGTTCCCTGTGGAGAACCCGCGGCCCACCCGCGACCCAAACCTCGTTCCGTGTACGAACCAACTTTTTTGGCGTTTGCGGCGGGCTGCTTTTGCATTCCTTCCAGGTGGAGGTGGAGAGCCCGCGACCCACCCGCGACCTAAACCACGTTCACTGAACAAACCAATGCCGCACAAGCGCGGCGGCGGATTGTTGCATGCCGTCTGAGCCCGCAAGGACCTCTTCAAGCCCCGCGCATCCACACCAGCCCGTCCAGCAACTCTGCCCTGGCGAGTTGCCTTGATCAGAGAAGGCGGGGAGCATCAAGTGGAAAAAAGGGTTGCGTTGCAGTTATCGTGGGAAAGGAGGGGGAGGCAGGATGAGTAAACAGGGGACGAGGAGAACGCGGAAGAAGAGAGGATGTAAGGAGAACGTGGAGAAAAAAAAAGGAGGAGGAGCAGGAGGACGAGGAGGGGGACAAGGGGGAGGAGGACGAGGAGGGGGAGGAGGGGGATGATGATGATGATGATGATGATGATGATGATGATGATGATGATGATGATGATGATGATGATGATGATGATGATGATGATGATGATGATGATGATGATGATGATGATGATGATGATGATGGTGATGATGATGATGGTGATGGTGATGGTGATGGTGATGGTGATGGTGATGATGAAGATGATGATGATGATGATGATGGACGACAATGGGAGGACGATGATGGAGGCCGATGAGGGGGAGGACGACAATGGGAGGACGATGATGAAAGGACGAGGGGGGGAGAGGGAGGACGAGGAAGAAGAGGAGGAGGAGGACGAGGTGGAGGAGGAGGATGACGATGACGATGAGGACGAGGAAGAGGAGGAGGAGGAGGAGGAGGAAGAGGAGGAGGAGGAGGAGGTGGAGGAGAGCGCCATCGACAAGGAAGGTGGGGGCCACGAGGTCCGCCGGCTCGACGACGCCCGCGTCGCCCGCGCCCGCCCCCTCACTCTTATCCGCAATTGCGGGGTGCTACGGTATATATATATATATATATATATATGAAGGAGCAGTGATGAACCCTTCCCCGAATGGGAAGACAGGGGGCTGGAAGAGGGAGCTCCCTGGGCCACCTGCGCCAGGAAGGCTGCTGGGATTACACCGAGAGAGCGACCCTTCGCCAGAGCTCCGCCGTGCGAGGCCGCAGTGATCCCCGAGCGCTGGCCCGCGCGCGCAGGTTTGCCGCCCCGCCCCCCCCCCGCAACGGACCCCCGGAGCCGCGCACCGGACGCCGATCTTGCCTAGGCCCTGGGGGCACGCCTGCCTGGGCTCTAGGCCCCAGGCCCCAGGCAGGAGTGACCCTTCAAGTCTCGTCGAAAACAGATTGACACACCGATCTGGGTCGTGGCGCTCGATGGTACCGATCTGAATTTGGGCTCGAGCCATTTTGGCTCAAGCTCTTTGGCTCAAGCCTCTTTTTTGGTCCCGCTGTTCTGAGACCGGGCGAGTCTTCTGGAGAGCGCGGTGCGCTGAGAAATCCCAGATGGGGGATGGTTCGGCCGCGAAGAAAGACTCTCCGTTCACCCTCGCCCTCATTGCCGGTGGCATCGCGGGAACGTCCGTAGACGTGTCCCTGCACCCCCTTGACACGCTGCGCACGCGGCTGCAGTCCACCCAGGGCTTCTGGGGGGCAGGGGGCTTCCGCGGCATGTACAAGGGGATCCTGTCGGCCGCGCTGGGCTCCGCGCCCGGCGCCGCCGCCTTCTTCAGCACCTACGAGACGGCCAAGCAGGTGATGAAGGGCCTCAACTCAGGCAGGGAGGAGCACTGGACGCAGCACGCCTTCGCCTCCTCCTGCGGCGAGGTGGCCGCGTGCCTGGTGCGCGTGCCGACGAACGTTTGCACCCAGCGGCTGCAGGTGGGGCAGTACTCGACCCTCTCCGAAGTGGTGTCCGACACTCTCAGGACCAGGGGCATCCGCGGGTTCTACGTCGGCTATGGGACGACCGTCGCTCGGGAGATCCCGTTCTCGTTCATCCAGTTTCCCATCTACGAGCAGATGAAGACCACGTGGGCCGACTGGCAGGGGAAGCCGACGAATCCCGTCCAGGGCGCGATGTGTGGGTCCGCGGCGGGCGCGATCGCCGGAGGCCTGACCACGCCCCTGGACGTGGCGAAGACGAGGATCATGCTGGACAAGCCCGAGGAGGGGGCCGAGCCGAAGTACAGGGGCACGGTGAGCACGCTGCGGCTCATTGCGGCCGAGGAGGGCCCACTGGCACTGTACAAGGGCATCGCCCCGAGGGTGACCTGGATCACGATAGGCGGCTTCATCTTCTTCGGCGCTTATGAGACAGCCACCAGCGCCCTCTGGACGACGGGCGTGTGGTGAGGCCGGAGCGCCTATCGTGCTGGCGTGTTGTGCCGCTTGCAGATGTTGCTGCGCTCTTGGTCGGATTGGCATATATAAGCCGGGTCACATCGGCTCGCAGTTTTTGCGCGGTCTTTTTTCGAAATTAAGGGCCACCAGGTGATGATGTTCTCCAGTGCTCGCCACCTCATTTATTTCGTGCTGCAGAGGGTCAACTTGATCGCCAGTGGCAGCATTTCCGCTTCGCTGGGCCATGTCGCATGCTCAATGCTTTGCCATTCAGCGGGGAACGTCTCCATGCATTGGTTGATGGCCAGTGTGGGGGCAAGAACGAGCGACACGAATATACGCGAATTCCAAGTTTTGAATCGAGGCATTGTAAAGTGTGGATCGAAGTGGGGTCACGTCGACTGCCAGAAAAAAATCGTGGCGCTGGATAGTTTGGACATTACACTTGTCAGAAAACGCATTCTTCAATGCCATGAGAAGGTTGCCGAGTTTCGGACACCCTTGCGTCTGGGCAAAACATATCCTGCCAGCGTCGGGGCAGCGCCGACCACACGAGCACCGAAAACAGCAACCGTCAGTTTATGTTTGACGAGTCTGGTAGGCCCTAGGGATCGGGCGACGAAATCTATACATGTCTACTGCTCCCTGAACACAGGAGCTGTGTATAGGCCTTCCTGGCCAAGCAAGGAGGGCGTGGCGTATGCACCGCTGGTGGGTTCAGGATGGGCCTGGCCAGGGAGCAGTGGATGTGCATAGATCTGGTCGCCTTGAGGGACACTCCCGCGTGAAGCCGAAAGCGCATGGGAGGGACGGAATTCTGGACACCCCCGCGCCGTGAACAAAACATCACGGCGGGCGCCGCTGCAAAACGCTCGCGGCCTTGGGGCCATACACAATACAGTATCGCGTGTCGGTCTGGCCAGAAGGAAGCCCGCATGAGGTCATGAGCGGGCGAACATATTTCCATCCGCCCCTTGCTCGGCGGCGAGCCCAGCGAGGAAGTTCGTTGGGGCGGGCCTTCTCAGAAGTTTCGGAAGGTGTCGGGCCTTCTGAGAAGTGCTCTAAGACTTCCCCGAAGGCACAGAACACTTCTCAGCAGGCGCGAAGGCTTCTGAGAAGCCCCGCCGCCTTCTGAGAAGGCTTGCCCCTTCCCACTTTCCCCGTGGGCGCGCGGCCAACTCGCGGTCAGCATTCCGTGGCGCAATCCCGCGGATACGCGGTCGGACACGTTCCGCGCGGGGCATTTCGAACAACGCCCTATATCCGCGGGGTCGCGGCCCAGGGCCCTGGCCTGCGAGGCCGCGGATACGATACGGATGTGTGTGCATTCGCCCACGATGAAGATGGGACCGGGGGCTCGATTCATGAGGTTGCGTTTCTGCCAAGACGTCGGATGTTGGGGGAGCTTGCGCTGGACACTTCGGACAGACAGAGCAAGCACAAGTCATCATGAGAGAGCAACGGGAGGATACCCGAACCCAGCACAGAGGCGCTGAAGCCGCGCGCTCTCCCATCTAAGCCTGTACAAGTTCCCACGCCAGCTTGTCTCGGATGCCAGAGGGGGAGGGAGGGGGAGGAGGGGGAGGAAGGAGAGGATCGTATCGCATGGCCTAGGGTGTTACATGTGACTCTGAAAGGTTCCAGGGGTATCCAAGGAGTTCTAGGCTCTAGGGCTTTCAGGCGAGTTCTGGGAGAAGCAGCATGAGCAGCGCAGGGCAGGAGCAGGAGCGTTGTTGGGAGGTTGTGCGATGTCATCGGATAACTTTTGGCGTGTTTTTTCCCAGCCATCCTGAGGTGTTGGGTCCTCGTTTTGAAGAGACAGCGCCCCGCGTCCCACATTCCTCCTTCCTCCTTCCTCCTCCTCCTCCTCCTCCTCCCCCTCCTCCTTCCACTCCTCCTCCCCCTCTTCCCTGCGTTCCACCCACCCAGGGCAGCGTCTCGTAGCCCCATCGGGAGCTCCACCGACGGCCCCAGTGGGGGTGCCCGCATGCGCTGCCCCCACCCAGGGCAGCGCTTCGTGGCCCCATAGGGAGCTCCACCGAAGGCCCCAGTAGGGGTGCCCGCATGCGGTTCCCCCACTCAGGGCAGCGCTTCGTGGCCCCGTGGGGAGCTTCACCGAATACCCCAGTGGGGGTGCCCGCATGCGGTTCCCTTACCCAGGGCAGCGCTTCGTAGCCCCATCGGGAGCCCAACCGAAGGCCCCAGTGGGGGTGCCCGCATGCGGTTTCCCCACCCAGGGCAGCGCTTCGTGGCCCCATAGGGAGCTCCACCGAAGGCCCCAGTGGGGGTGCCCGCATGCGTCCCCCATCCCCCAGGGCAGGATTCGTAGCTCCATAGGGGCTCCACCGAAGGCCCCAGTGGGGGTGGGGGCCCGCACTGCGGTTCCCCCAACCCAGGCAACGCCTTTCATAGCCCCTTAGGGAGCTCCACCGAGCCCCAGTTTTGGGTCACCGCATGCGGTTCCCCAGCACCACCACAATGCTTCGGTGGGCCCCATAGGGAGCTCCACCGAAGGCCCCAGCGGGGGTGCCCGCATGCGGTTCCCCCACCCAGGGCAGCGCTTCGTGGCCCCATAGGGAGCTCCACAGAAGGCCCCAGTTGGGGTGCCCGCATGCGGTTCCCCCACCCAGGGCGGCGCTTCGTGGCCCCATGGGGAGCTCCACCGACGGCCCCAGTGGGGGTGCCCGCATGCGGTTCCCCAACCCAGGGCAACGTTTCGTTGCCCCATCGGGAGCCCAACCGAAGGCCCCAGTGGGGGTGCCCGCATGCGGTTCCCCCGCCCAGGGCAGCGCTCCGTGGCCCCATGGGGAGCTTCACCGTAGGCCCCAGTGGGGGTGCCCGCATGCGGTTCCCCAACCCAGGGCAACGCTTCGTGGCCCCGTAGGGAGCTCCACCGAAGACCCCAGTGGGGGTGCCCGCATACGGTTCTCCCACCCAGGGCAGCGTTTCGTAGCCCCCTAGGGAGCTCCACCGAAGGCCCCAGTGGGGGTGCCCGCATGCGGTTCCCCAACCCAGGGCAATGCTTCGTGGCCCCATAGGGAGTTCCACCGTAGGCCCCAGTGGGGGGGGCCGCATGCGGTTCCCCCAACCAGGGCAGCGCTTGATAGCCCAATAGGGAGCTCCACGGAAGGCCCCAGTGGGGGTGGTCGCATGCGTCTCCCCTGCCCAGGGCAGCGTTTCGTGGCCCCATAGGGAGGGAGCTCCACCGAAGGCCTCAATCGGGGTGTTCGCATGCGTCTCCCCCACCCAGGACAGCGCTTCGTGGCCCCATAGGGGAACTCCACCGAAGGCGCCAGAGGCGGAGTTCGCATGCGTCTCCCCCACCCATGACAGCGCTTCGTGGCCCCATAAGGAGCTCCAGCGAAGGTCCCAATGGCGCAGTTCGCATGCGTCTCCCTCGCCCAGGGCAGCGCTTCGTGGCCCCATAGGGAGCTACACCGAAGGCCCCAGTGGCGGTGTCCACATGCGTCCGCGCCACCAATTTCGGCGCACCCCTCACAAGTTTCGTGGCCCCAAAGGAGCTTCACCGAAACCGGTACCCACAATGCGGCACTCGCAACTGCACATGGTTGGATCCTTCGTCAGGCTACTTCTGTTTTGTTGCTGTCGTGTGTTACTGGGCGTTCTCGCTGATCCTCGGTGACGTCAAGACGTTGTCGTCGATTCCCAACGGTTCTTTACGGTTTGCGGTTCCCAGAAGTTTCCCTGGCGGAGCAGCAGCGGCAGGACGAGGACGACGACGACGACGACGACGACGAAAACAATTAGCCTGGCGAAGGACCCAACCATACGCAGTTGTGAATACCGCAATTGTGAATACCATCTTCGCCCGCGCTCTCTATGTAGCCACGGCTCCCCGCCGGGGCCCGACATGCTCAGGGACACGTTCGTGGCCGTCTTCGCGGGCGCCGACGACGACGAGGACGGCGTCCCCCTGACCGAGGAGCAGAAGCAGGAGAGGGCTCTGAGAGCCATGAAGGATGCTGCCACGGGCGACATCGGTGGGGCTCCCATGGGGCCACGATCCTCGTGAGGGGTGTGCCGAAATGGCCCAAGGCCGCCATGCGAACCCTGACACTGGGGCTGTCGGTGGAGCTCCCTATGGGGCCACGAAACGTGTGAGGGGTGTACAGACATGGGGCAACACCGACATGCCGAACCTGCCGCTGCGGCATTCGGTGGTGCCGCCTCAGACCACGAAACGTGCGAGGGGTGTGCCGAAATGGGGGGCGGAACCGCATGCGAACGCAGCCACTGGGGCCTTCGGTGGAGTTCCCTCTGGGGCCACGAAGCGTGTGAGGGGTGTGCCGACACGGGGGGTGGAACCGCATGCGAACGCAGCCACTGGGGCCTTCGGTGGAGCTCCCTATGGGGCCACGAAACGTGTGAGGGGTGTGCCGACATGGGGGGCGGAACCGCATGCGAACGCAGCCACCGGGGCCTTCCGTGGAGCTCCCTAAGGGGCCACGAAACGTGTGAGGGGTGTGCCAAAATGGGGGGTGGAACCGCACGCGCCACAACAAGCGAACGCAGCCACTGGGACCTTTGGTGGAGCTCCCTATGGGGCCACGAAGCGCGCGAAGGGTGCGCCGAAATGGGGGGTGGAAACGCATGCGCCGCAAAAGCGAACGCAGCCACTGGGGCCGTCGGTGGAGCTCCCTATGGGGCCAGGAAACGCGTGAGGGGTGTGCCGACATGGGGGGTGGAACTGCAAGCGCCGCCAAAGCGAACGCAGCCACTGAGACCTTTGGTGGAGCTCCCTATGGGGCCGCGAAACGTGCGAGGGGTGTACCGAAATGGAGGGTGGAACCGCATGCGCTGCAAAAGCGAACGCAGCCACTGGGACCTTTGGTGGAGCTCCCTATGGGGCCACGAAACGTGTGAGGGGTGTGCCGACATGGGGGGTGGAACCGCATATGCGCCGCAAAAGCGAGGCGCAGCCACTGGGGCCGTCGTGGGAGCTTCCATGGGGCCACGAAACGTGTGGGGGTGTGCCGACATGGGGGTGGAACTGCCTATGTGCCGCAAAACGAAACACAGCCACTGGGACTCGGTGGAGCTCCCTATGGGGCCTAGCCGAACGTGTGAGGGTTGTGACCGAAATGGGGGGTGGAAAACCGGGAGCACGAAGGGCGCCGCATAAAGCGAACGCCAGCCACTGTGGCCTTCTTTGGAGCTCCCTATGGGGCCACGAAACGTGTTGGGGGTGTGCCGAATGGGGGGTGGAAAACCGAAGGGTGGATTCGCATGCGCCGCAAAAGCGGCGCAGCCGCTGGGCCTTCGGTGGAGCTCCCTATGGGGCCACGAAACGTGTGAGGGGTGTGCCGAAATGGGGAATGGAACCGCATGCGCCGCAAAAGCGAACGCAGCCACTGGGGCCTTCCGTGGAGCTCCCTAAGGGGCCACGAAACGTGTGAGGGGTGTGCCAAAATGGGGGGTGGAACCGCATGCGCCGCAAAAGCGAACGCAGCCACTGGGGCCTTCGGTGGAGCTCCCTACGGGGCCACGAAATG